AGTTGCTATCACGAAATTATGAAAACTCCGATTACTTCCTAAAATATGCCAGAGAAACCGAATTTCGTTTTTATTTGTTTCTGATATTATTTGAACAGACATGCCATTATTTGAGCTCTACAAAATATCGTTGAAAAATTTTGGATAAGAAGTTGAAAACTGTTGGTTTCAAGTTTTCAACAAGATGGTACACTCGCGCACAGCACCCGAATCGTGGAAGAATACCTATATGGGACAAATGTTCCAAAAAATTTGTTCGATAGGTATTCTCACACGATTTAGGGCGTGAAACCAACAACTTGCAACTCTTGTTTTTTTTCCACCTAGGGGTTTAGCTAAAAATTAGGCTACTATTTCGTACCTTCCTCAACCAATTTCTTGATGCACCTTGATAGAATGAAAAAGGTTTTAGATATAAAAAATTATTTCCAATATCTTGGGAATACCGAATATGTAACATTATGATTTACAAATCAACAGCATTCATGCACATTAGCTAATTACCTATATAGTAATTTATCTAATCCATATTATTAGGAACGGCGTAATAATGTGAAGGGTAACGCCAGGTACCCAGCCAACACACTTACGTTTAATAAACGGTTTTAAAGCGTTTTGAAAGGATAAATTCGATATTGGTAGTATGGTATACGTTTGTTTGTAAACCAATTTATACCCTACGTTTAATATACGATTTTTGTTCGTATATACAGGGTGTTTTTTTGGGAGCTTTAGTTAAAAGTTTCTGGGAAAGTAAAATAGGTAGGTTTTTGAAAATTTGTACTTAGGAGTTACTCTGAAGGCCGAATCGATGTAAAATATTTTCAAAATGGCCGCACTTCCGGAAACACCGGAAGTAGATAGTAACTTCGTTATTTTAAATGGCAACCCCTATTTTTTATTGCTTTTTTGGATTCTACGTGAAATTTCACTTCTTTTGATACCCATATGTCGATATCTACCATTTATGGTTTTTAAGTTATTTTGACTTTAAGAAAAAAAATGGCGGATGCAGATGGTACCTTGATAATTGATTACTTGCAAACGGTTGTAGTCATGGCAACCTATTTTTATCAGTGCATAGAGAATGAATAGGGCTTTCTTTTAGTGCACTTAAAAAAAAGTTAAGTTGCGTACGACCGCCCCTATGGATATCCAAATTTATGAAACTTCAAAGACTAAAAACTCAGTTTTTTTTAATGGAATGACCATGTTCTTACTATTCCATGAGATAGAGAATCGAAATGGGCATATTTTGACAATACATGTTCCTATAGCTATCTTTAACAGTTTCTGACTTATTCCCATTTTATTGAATTGACACTATTTTTTTAGGATTTTCTTTTTAGTAGTCGGCCATGATTCTATAACAATTGAATTTTAAACAAATCTAGTGACACTAATCCATCACCCACTGTTATAGGTTAACATAGTTTTTCAAAAATCGAAAAATGACTCGCAGTGGTTTCACCTATTTTGGAATTTAATTGTTATTTATGGTGAAATGGGCAGAATCGCGGCGCGTGCTTTCCGTACATTCATTCTAAATCTGGAACGAAATTGTATGAATTTTTGAAATTTTGTACCCCTAATGCACTACAAACCGTTGAAGCACAAGTTATACAAAGCTCTACAAGAGAATATTTAAGAAAATGAATTGAATTGCAAATGCAAGATTAACAAAATAAATTCAATGCAAAATATAAAAAACTTTGTTGAAACATTTTTGGTATGGAATTGTTGCTAGAACAGATATCGCATTACCTCTCTTAATTTCCAGACTTATACGTTGTTTAAGAAATTCAGTTGAACGACTCTGTTTAGATTTTTCAAAAATTTTCTGTCCTATATCCTTATTAAATGAGTTATTTATTAATGAATTATTTAGACTAGAACTAGAATCAGTGGTATTAAAGAATCCATTCCTTGATTTGTTTAAAATTCGATTGTTATAAAATCATGGCCAACTACTAAAAAGAAAATGCGAAAAAAAATGGCATCAATTCCGAGATCAATTCAATGAAATGGGAATAAATCAGAAACTGTTAAAGATAGCTATAGGAACATGTAATATCAAAATATGCCAATTTCGATTCTCTATCTCATGCAATATTAAGTACATGGTCTTTCCATTTAAAAAAACTGAGTTTATAGACTTTGAAGTTTCTTAAATTTGGATCTCCATAGGTGCGGTTGTACGCAACTTAACTTTGTTTTAAGTACAGTAAAAGAAAGCCCTATTCATTCTCTATGCACTGATAAAAATGGGTTGCCATGACTATAACCTTTTTCAAGTAATCAATTATCAAGGTACCATCTGCATCCGCCATTTTTTTTTCTTAAAGTCAAAATAACTTATAAACCATAAATGGCAGATATGACATATGGGTATCAAAAGAACTGAAATTTCACGTAGAATCCAAAAATGCAATAAAAAATAGGGGTTGCCATTTAAAATAACGAAGTTACTATCTACTTCCGGTGTTTCCGGAAGTGCGGCCATTTTGAAAATATTTTACATCGATTCGGCCTTCAGAGTAACTCCTAAGTACAAATTTTCAAAATCCTACCTATTTTACTTTCCCAGAAACTTTTAACTAAAGCTCCCAAAAAAACACCCTGTATAAGCCATAGAGTTCACGTTCTAGGTTGCTAATATATATATATATATATTATATATATATATTATATATTATATATATATATATATATTATATATATATTATATATATATATATTATATTATAGTATATATATATATAAACGTTCTTTTATCAATAATTTGATAAACGTATATTATACCACTTTGATATACCATGCTGGAATATTAGTATATTTACTTCCTCCAAAATACGAATAAAAATTAGGCATATTCTACGGATCAAGATTACGTATTATTTATGTCATAACAAGTAGATAAATAAACGTTTTTTTAGTGACAAACGTATATAATACGTTTTTAATTTACCATATACCTACTGGAATTTTGAGAATGGTATAAGGAATACGTATTTTGTACGATCGCACTCCTTCGTATTATATACGACCGTTTTATTCCTAAATTTATTTCTATAGACATTATAAAACTGTTCATTTTGCACATTCCTTTACACTCACGTACGTACGCATTTGCTTATGAGTTGTGTGATAGTTAAGTTCATTTCTTGATCCAAAAACGTATTTGGTAAGTTGACAATAATAAAAATTATGTTTTCTGATATTCATTTTCATTTAGACGTGGTAAAGCAGCACTATTTTGGACAAGTGCCTGCATCGTCCTCGCAAACTTGGCTACAGCTACTTTCAATAGATCGTAGCTGAAACTTGTCTTTTTTTGAACCTGCAGAGGGACGCTTCTCCGACGCCAAACGGCGCCTCTTATGCATGCGAAGCCTACAAGAATTGGAAACGACGCTTCTTGAACGTGATAACGCCTACAATTTCAAAGAAGCTATAATACTACTACTTTCAACAAATTCCAAGTTTAAACTCTTCTTTTTTGATCCTGCAGATTGACGCTTCTTGGACGTGAACATGCGCCTCTTATATGTATGCAAAAGACGCGGAGAGAATTGGAAACGAAGCTTCTTGGACGTTACAGAGCTTGCAAGCTTTACATTGCCTCCCTATGGGATACGGAGGACCGTTAGCGGTGCCAATTACCGATGCGAAGGAAGGAAGAATACCCAGGTTTACAAATGGGCAAAGAAGATAATGGACCCTGCATGTTTATGATGAACTTTGTAATTATTATGCGTTTTATATAATTAGACCTTTGATTTAATTAAAAATATACAATCTGCCAAGCACATATATTCCATTTGTTATATACGTTTACTAGCAGTACATTATCGACGAATTTAGTACGTATTCCGTATGCGAAATTTAAACGTATTCAGTAAACGCATATAAATCGTATATAAATGGAAATAATAAACGCATAATATTCTACAAGACTATAGCAATATCCGCCGGACATTTATGCATACTATATACTAGTATATGATTACGTTTGTTAAACGTGGGGTTTTAGTCTACTATAAACGCGTTATATACAGAACTGTGTTGGTTGGGATATTTCAACTTTTTGTAAGTACCGACGTTCTTTTCATTATTGCAAAGAATATCCACTATTGAGAATTTGTTAGACTGCAACTACAAAATCAGCATTTCATAAGAACGTTTAGCTATTTTTTCCAATGTGGCGGATTGACTATAACTGAGGAGCCTAAACGCATAATGCTTTGGCTAAATCAAGGTTGACCAAATACGGAATAGTAACTGGTGGTAAACCATATCGAGAAATAGGATGTGTTTTAAGCTTCGTTCTCGAATACATTATACAACTTTCTCAAAATTCGAATAGAATAACTTTGAAATTTTTGGTACCAGTTCCATATGGAGAACACAAAAGGAATGAAAGAATACCGACACGAATGTTAAACGTGTTTATTACTAAAAATATACAAAGTAAATAAAGTAATTTATTCTTAATCTGGTTGATGTTAAGCACGACGCACTACTAGAAAATGGCAAAAGGTACGATAGGAAAACAGGCATAAAGGAACTTACTTGTTCTTGTTTCGAAGTACGTCAATATTACTACAAAGGCGATAATATCATGGCGCCGAGGTGTTGATTGTTGTTGGCGAAACGAAAACGTTAAGTTAAGTCATTTTAGAAACGAAAAATTCTATTAACAACGAGCCAGCTATAAAAAACCTAACAGAATTATTGCTCAACCAATTTAATCCCGAAACAAAAAGTAGTTTCATAGTGGAAAAACTGGAAAACTAGAAAATATTTTTATTTTTTTCTTACCTTTGGTTTAAAATTTTGCAAAGTTTGCGACAGATACAGATATCTCAATTGGGATATTAGTACTTGAGGATACGTTGCGGTGCTATTATTGCAATAACATGTTGGTTGGGTATAAAAAATACGTGTTGTGTATAATCTCGTGTTGATAAGATTTACTAGCCTCCAATTTAGTATAAAACCGTGGGTAACGTTTGAATTTCAAGCAAGTTTAACATTGACAACCTTGTTGACAACCTAAAATTTAAAAATGAAGTTCCTTGTTTTGGCTTTTCTGATAGTGCTGGTGGCTTTCCAAGTAGCGTACTGCGAAGAAAAGATTTGCGCTTGCATAGTTAATAATCAACCATGCCCCAAGGACACTACACCCAAGTAAGTATTTTTTTATTATAATACTAACTTGTTTAATTAAACAAAAATCGCTCAGAACACCTCCAAGTGTCAAGATAGTTACCAAGTTTTATTCATACCTATTCCCGGTATCCAACTGATGCCCACTGTCCCTGAAACTACTACTTCGTATTCTATGTTCACTATAACATTTTGGTTAGCTACGTCAAGTATTATCAAGTATTAAACTGACTGGAGGTTTGACAAAATTGAAATAGAACTTCAGTTAAGTTCGTTTGATTTATTAATTATCGTATCTATTTACATCTTACTATTATCCTCATATAGATGAAGTTTAACAACAATTTTTTTTCAGGGGAAAATGTGGCGTTAACGGAAAGCCTGGCATCAATTGCTGTTAATTGGAAGATTACAATATGACACCATTCATACTACACAAATTTTAATGTGATTAAATTAGTCTATTCAATAAAAAATTTTAAGTCAGACACAACTCGTCTAACTTTAGTGTAATGTTGCATCAGCATAATATAACTATACTGTGGTATCAGGGATATTCTAACCAGAACAGTTCATTTTAGCACCTATTAGGAAAATCAAATCAAATCAAATCAAATCAATTTTATTCTCCATTGTAAAAAAAAATATAAAAATTTTACCTACACTTAACTTTAGGAGAAAATGGTGGGAAAAATTACTCCACCACCGACTTACAATCATTCATAAAGAACAGGTATGTGCCGCTTACTGCAGTGCATACTTTGAATTGATTAGATACGGGATTAGATAACGGAGAAACCAAAAAGGAAAAAAAATTGGTAAATATCTCTCGATATTTTCATCGTAACGTTGCTAGGATACTGTCATAAATGGTGTTGTTGTTATATAGCCATTTCTTTAATTGCTTTACATTCCTACACAATTCCGGACAATGATCAACTATGTAATTATAAATTATGGGACCGGCATAAAGAAAAGTTTTTCGAAAGGTCGTAAAATTAGGTTTGAGCGGCTTTACTTTATCCTTGTCTTTACCTCGCGTATGTCTTTCATATTTTTTAGTTTGAAAACTTTAGAAAAGTCTGTAGTCAATTTGTATTTCAATGTTATTGCAATTGATTAGACCACCAACAATACACATTTCTAGATGATGTACCGTTGAGTATCCTTCCCATCTTTTTGCATCTTCTCTTCATTTATTGTTAAACACGATAGACCATGTATTATGTAAACATGTTCATCTGTGGTTAAACTTTCAAAGAAATATCCCCATAAATAAGAAAGTTGGCATTGCCAATTAAATGAAACTGATTGAAATGGGCAAATATAGACCATAACAGGTATCAATTAGCGAAAACCCGAAGTCTGTAGGTGGCCCAGGGACAAAGATCTCGATGGAACGGTCGGACGAACGGACGGACGGACGGACAGACGGACAGACGGAAACAAGTAAAAAGGTTTTCGCCCTAAGGAGAGTAACTTCAGCGCATTTTCCATGAATGATCAGTACTTCCCAAAAGGCCATAGCTGTGATTTTCTTTACTAGAGGCATATATGGTTAAAATTTCAAAGATATATCTCCATAAACCAAAAGTTGGCGTTGCGCAGTTCGCGCATGAACACATTTAATTTATGCTGTAGGTATGCGATGTTCGTTTTTACTAAAAGCGTTTATGGTTAAACTTTAGAGAGAGATTTGTCATAAGTAAAAAAGTTGGGATTTTGCAGTCTGTGCATGCGTGGATTTGATTATTACTATGTGCGATATGTTTACTTTTCCAGAAGCATCTATGGTTAAAATTTCAAAGAAATATTTTGATAAATAAAGAAGTTGGCACTGACTGCGCATGCGCACATCTAATTTTTGCAGTATCAGTTATGTTTTTGGCTTTAACAGAAGCATTTGTGATTAAAATTTCAAAAAGATATCTCTATAAATAACAGTTGATATTGCGCATGCGCGCATTAATCTGACGTTTACAATATGCGATACGTTTGCTTACACTAAAAGCATCTTTGGGTAAAATTTCAAAGAAATACCTCCATAAATAAGAAAGTTGCCATTGCGCATTCTACGTACCTATGCGCACAACTGATTTTTACTATATGCGATATATTTGCCTTCACCAGAAGTATCTGTGGTTAAAATTTCAACAAAATATATTAATAAATAAGAAAGTTGACATTTCTGTGCATGCGCAGTTTAATTGTCAAGATTTTATTTGGCTCAGGTGCTAGAGCTATACGCTACCGAATGCAAAAAGAACGAACTTAATATCTTGAAAACTGAAGGAGTAGTTAAGGCAAAGAGTAGGATACTCTTTGGTTAAGGCCTCGGACAGAGAAAGTGGCTGCAATAGCGTACCCAACTTTGTTGGAAAATGCGCTAAAAATGCCTGTGTGTCATTTGTTATCTATTGAGCGCAACTTTATGAAAAGCATTTCTCGTAATAGATAATTTTCACGAAGAATTACTCTGAGAAAACTGATAGTGTTAGATGGGAAATAAACACAAACAATTATTTATTCATATTTGATTTGATCTAACCAAACAAAGTGGTACGTTTCTGCCGGTTTGAAGGTATTGTGTTATATTATAAAACAAAGTTCATATGCAGCGCTACTTGTGATATATCAGAGTATAATATGTAAAATACAATACCTAGTATTGTACGTACCCGCCGTCATAGGAAAGTATTACAGCCTTATTAGGAGTAAATAAAAAAACCAATTTTGGTTTGTTTTGGTATTGACATCTTTTGTGCGGCATCGTTATGCAACGTCCACAACTTTAACGAGGCCTAAGTGGTGGATGTATTAGGGAATTAGCACTTTTGATGGATATTCCTTATATCTGGGCATATATATTTTTTTTAGTATCAATTGATTTTATTTAAATATTATATAAAATATTTCCAACATTTAAAAAAGTTTAAAGATTTAAGAGAGGAAATTTCGTCTAAAGAGATTGTAGAAGGAAAAGTGCCCATAATACTAGCAGCATTGCCGTGTTGAATAGCCAGACTAAATTTTTGAATTAGGAATGTTTGCGAACGGTGCTCTCCTGTGACATTTTTCGATTTCTTTCCTAAAGTATTCACAAATTGCTTAGCTTCCGTACACCATGGCCCAATGGTTTCAACAGCGAACGGTAAAAACTGGTAACCTGCAATGATAATTTCCTGATATTTTCTCAGCTTGTTAGCAGCAGCTTGTTTCGTAAGTGGATTGCGAGGAAAGTGACAAGTGAGAAGAGGCAAGTGTATCAGAACAAGTCGCATCCGAAATTAAGTGTAGACCATGAGACCAAAGGATCAGAGTCATACCATCTACCCGTTTTCCGTCTGTTCTTGATAGTCCCAGGGGTTCTAATGTTGAAGGAATGTTTGCTGAAGCTAAGTGCTTTCTGAATGATGCAATTGAAAGTATTTTAATATTAATAATATATTGAAAAAATAAGTAGCACAATCTTGCCTTCCAATTATTGGTATAGTCGTATTCCGCTTAGGGGTGTAGCTAAAAATTGGGCTACTATTTCATACTTTCCTCAATCAATTTCTATAAGCACCCTGATAGAATGAAAAAGGTTTTACAAATAAGACATTATTTCCAATGTACATATTGTAACGGAAATGCTCCAGACATGACGTCGCCTTTGGCGCTCTGGAATTTTCTACGCGCGCGATAGTGGAATTTGTAGGAATATTCGAGAATGTACGCGGATGTTCGGGACTTACATTGCTTGCGTGTATAAATGGTTGCGGACCGAACATCGCGCGAGTCTACTACCGAACGAGTACGTAAACATCGAGCGTGGAAATATAAATTGCGAAGTGTGTGATATAAATAATCGATATAAATTGTACGGATTTTATAGTGTTTTAGTTCTGTTTAATAAATATTGATATAAATCGAACCCGAATTTATAAATAACGTTACATTGGTGTCAGGAGTGGAATTAATTAAATTAATTAAAAGTAAATAAAATTAAATTAAGTGCTTGTGTTTGTGTATGCCTGTAACAAGATCTGCTGCAGCTAAAATGGAAGAAACGATGCTCAATTTGCTCCAGCAAATCCAAAATGGTCAACAGGTGTTGCAACGAGAAAATGAAGAAAATTCTAGAAATATTCAAGAGAAGTTCGAGAAGTTGGAAGAAAATTCTAGAAAGATTAATGAAGAAAATTAGAAATATTCAAGAGAAATTCGAGAAGATGGAGGAAAATTCTAGAAAGATTATCGAAGAAGTCTCTA